TTTAGTTCATCATCCAATCCACAAACACTGTTGATGATGGGAACAAAGACATATGTGTACACAACATGACACAGCAGTGTCACTGTGACCACATTACCCTGAAAGAGGGACCCAGCTCTGTATAGCAGTGCATCTGCTGTGGAAGCCTTTTCCTGTTATCTGCTTGAATGTATGGCAAGTGCAAGAAATTGGGGAAAAACTTAACATTGAAAATATTCTACCTATTAACTTGTTTTCTGAAAATTCAAGAAAGGCCATACCAGTCCAAATTACAAATCAGCCCAGTTAGCATAAACTGAGGTGGGTAAGGAACCCTGTCTCTCCAAGCCTGCCACTCTCTTAGATAGGGGCAGGTTGATCTTTACACCACACACAGCAGGTGAGTGTCTCTGGCAAAGGGGCAGACAGGCAGATGGGTCTATGCATTGCCCTGTGTGGCCTTCTGGAAACCTCTCTGGAAACCCATGGTTTGCTGCCCTGGTTGGCAGCTGATCTGGAAGCTCTCAGGGCTCTGCTGCTCTGCTGGGCAGTGCCAAGAGGGAGGCAGCAGGGCAAGAGCAGTGCAGTGAAGGGAGAACAAATGGGCCTCAGTGACTGGTCCCAGGCTCCACGGCAGAGGGAGGAGGCTCGCCCTGGACCAGGGACAGAGGTGCCAGGAAGAAGGAAAGAAAAGTTGTTTGGGATGCACTGAGAACCTGCAAGGAAAGGAAGCACTGAAGAGGAGGGTTGTGGTCACTGGGGAGAGGAGCCAGGTCCAGGGTGGAGGCGAGAATGTGAGGACGCCTAGTGAGAAGAGGGTCTCCCCCACCAACTACAGCACCAGGCTCCCAGAGAAGGGGGTCAGACAGCTAGCACCTAGGAAGACTGAGGGTGTCGGGCCCCAAGCTGCCTGTGACAGCTGCGAGCTCTCAGCCTGAGTCTCAGTTCCTCATCTGTAAAATGGGATGATAACAGTGCCTCCATCACAGGGTGGTGGTGAGGACTAGATGAGGAGCAGCTCTGAGGAGTTTGGCCTTGGGCCTCGCACATGTCATGCTCAGGCCAAGGCCCGCTTTGGAACATGGCATCTGACATAGGAAAGGCAAACTCCCAGTACATGGCCCAGAAAATGGGCAAAACCCAGATATGAGGGCCCAACCAAGTACAGACGAAGAGAGAGACTGGGAGGGGCTGTGTGGTGACCACAGAACAGGGACTCTGAGCATAGGCTGTTCATTTATAATACACATCTAGTTAGCGCCTCCTATGTTTAAGTCTCATGCTAGTATCGAGGACAAAGCTATAGAAGACAAGCCATCTGGGCTGTATAGGTCGGAGGCATAGCCTGACTCATGAAAACAGCATGGAGCATCGCAAGACGCAGTGTCCCTGAGGTTTAAACTGAGGAGAGAAACCCATTTTCAGCTAAGTAAGAAAAGACATTTGGAATTGTCCAGTGCAAAGCCATGGAGCTGGCGGATGTGGTGAGCTCTGGCCTAGCTGCCAGGTGGCTGACGTGGGCCACAGCCCACATTCTGGCATGCTGGGGGCACAAGCACATAGAATCCTGCACTATGGGCACAGCATTAACATAGAAATAACCAGTAGGCCCAAACATTCATGGCAGACCTCAGCACTTGCCTGGCTTTGTCCACGGCCATGACAATTACCTCCTTTCTCCCTCCCCGCACATCCTAGGATCAAAGAATATGAGCATCCTGCACACAAGGAAGCTCCCACCAACACTGACCTTAGAGAAGCAGACAGGGAGAGATGAAGTTATATCCACTATTGAGAATTCTAAGACATGAGCATATCAACACTACAACACATCTTCCTGTCAACCCTCAATCTTCAACGTAAACATCTGTGAGAGCAAAGGCAAAGAGAACACAACTGTCTTAATCAGGGCCTTCACTACCCGCAGTAAAATGGGACGGGCTGTGTACTAGGGTACACCTAGCATGCCACCTCAGGGCCCACCACCCTAAAGCAGTCAGATCTGATAATGCACTGGAGAGCAGAGCTGCTCACAGAATGTTCTACCTCCTTCCTGCCAGTTCCACAACCCAGTCTCCTTGCCACTTATGTTCTGGAGCCTAATTCCCCAGCAGACAGCCCAGTGGAACCTCTATGCAAAGTGTTCTGCTCTGCCTGAGGAGAGCACAGACCCTCTCCTAAAACCACTGCTGTGTATTAAGAAGAGAAAGCAAACCTCCTGAGAGGAAGGTCTCCAGGTCTATGGAAACCTATAAGCATGGCATACATCAGCATCACCAGACACCAAGAGCCACTATGGGCTCCCATGGGAGTGGTGCCATTGTCACATATGGCTCATCACTGCTTCAGGTGCCAGTGCTAGAAAAGGCTGTTTTGATGACTCACATGTCTGTGAAGCTGAGGAGAGCAACACGTACTCATGTACCTGTGTGAGGAACAAGCTAGACAAGACTTCAATGTGGGCAAGTCATCTGGCCCAAGGAAGGGGGTTTTGTTACACGCCCATTGCCAGGCGGGGATCTCCCTGCCATGGGTCATCTGCTCCTAGTCAGAAGGACCATGCGAGTTTAGGACAAAAACAAGAAGCCTAGAAACATGCTGAAGGCTTTAACAACTAAAAAAAAAAAAATACATGTATGTCCTTTGTAAGAGGATCAAAACTAAAAAAACTCCTAAATATTGCAACTCTTTCAAAGGACAAATTCCCACGATACTGAATCCTGAGAACAAGCTGCTCCAGAGTTCCCAAAACCCCCAAAAGTCACCCTTAGGAAAACTTTGGAGAAGCAAAAAGAAGTACACTCTAGTCCACCAACTTCACCCTGATAAAGAAGACTGGGCCTTCGAGTCAGTAAGCTGAGGCCCTGACTACAAAGACCCACTCATCAAGTTGTGCATGTCTTAAACTTGAGGGTCCCTAGACACAGAGGCCAGGCATTGTGCCTTCTCTGCTTGACGCCTTGGGAGACCTGCAGGGGCCTCTGAGTGTGCCCTGGTCCTAAGAGCACATAGAGCCTTTCTAAGAGTGGTCTTTCTTCACCATTTCTGGCAGATGATCCTCTGCTGGACCAAACACCTCTGCTATCTAAGGCAGGTCTCCACATTTTACTCAAACCGGCCCTGCTTCAGTCAGCATGTCATAGGAAGTGTGGTAATGCATTGCTATTTGACAGAGGAGATAGGAGGTGGGTCCTATCTCTCTGGCTAGTGGCTCTGTGTTTCCTGAATGCTTGCTGCACCCAGCTGGAGTACCTAATGGTGAGACTGAGCTGACCCTCAGAAGCATATAAATCTATGTCCCGGGAAAACACTGCTGCCCCTGACAAAGCCCAACCCCTCTCACAATCTTCTCATGCTCTTTCGAACACACACCACCAGCAGCCCAGGAGCAGTGCTCCAGGAAGCAACACTACTACTGGAAAAGCAACTCAACTACCCACTGAGATAGGAGGGGCATCTCTGATGGTTGCTGCCAAGTGCCTATCAAGGTGGTAGTGGCTGGTGAAGGGGTCTGCTAAAATCTCAACAGAGGCCTTCACTCACACACCCCGGTGGACCTCACACTCTTCCTTCTTCACCTAAAAAAAAAACCAAGGCTCCTCCCTTCTTGCCTTCCAGAAGTCTCCTCTAAAACTAGGACTGAGTGCACGTGCCTCAGGAGGTGGCACAGTGTGAATCTGGCACAGCTGCCCACTTCTGAAGCTGATAGAACAGGAAGGGCATTAAGCTAGTCCAGGCAATCCAACAACCCTGACAAGTCCTAAAATGGAAGGGTCAGAAAAACAGCATCCACACTCTCAGTTGCCCACAGGCAAGCAATTTAACAAACAGCAAATGTTCAGAGCAGTCAGACAGGACTGACAAGAGCCCAAGAAACAAAGCAACAAAGGGTGTGGAGAGCAAAAACTTGAAGCAAAATTAGTTAGACAAGACAATTTCCAGAAGCACAAAAGGTCCTTGGAGAGACTCGACACTGACATACTATAAGCAGAGTCCCTAGTTCTAAGGAAACACCCCATGTGGCCTGGGATAAGGTCCTCATCACAGAGGGAGGACTGGCCACAGCGCTTTGCTGGACAAGATAACTATGTTTATTACATTAGATACGTAAATCAAGGGGTTCTCAGACAAGTGCTGGTGATGTGTACTTGCTATGTATTTTAGCCATGAAATCAGATATTTTAAAAGAATGTTAATGTTGTAAATGGGACATTTTCTTCCAGCAGAATGTGTTGATTCCCTGAGCACTGAGTAAACACCTCAGGGGAACAGCCTGCCTTCAAGGCACCCCGCTCCAAAACCCTGGCCATACATGGTACACATTGTCACAGGTTCTCCACCTTGACCGCACAGAACCTGGGCAGCTGGGATGCCTCCACTGCTGGATGCTCCCCAACCCCCACTCAGGTACATCCTTCCTCCAGCTCCTAAACAACCCTTTCTTCACACACCTCCTCGGTAAATTGTCACCCTGCAGCCACCAAGCTGCTCTGATTGACCTATGATGAAAGCCTTCTCTAGAAAGCTCACAGCAAAATCTCAGTCTCCCATTAAGTCGTTAGCCTCTAAAAATGCCTCAAGCTGATACTTAAAGCGACAAACTGATTGTAAGCTCAGGATCCAGCTGCTTTCTCCCAGTCTCCGGCCTTCATTAGTGTTAAAAATGGTGAGAAAGAAAACAGATTGCAAATTGCCGAAGGCTCGCTCCCTGCCAGGCAGTGTTAGGCTTTAGCCACAGTGAAGAGATGAAAAAGGCAAGGCGCTGATCCTTGGCTCTTAATTGCAGTCTAACCGGCGAGGGCAAATGGCTGGCTGGCGCAGTTCACATTATAGACCCGACGTGACAAGAGTTGGCAGATCAGGCCCACTGGGCAAGGCGCCTCCCAGGCCAGCTAACTGTGGGGGCTGCGTGGTGCTCACGCCGCCTCCGAGCAGTCCTGCCGCCGCGCGCCCTGCGCTCTTCCCGAGAGGGGACAGGGGGGCGGCTCCCCGAGGGCGGGCCGGTGGCGGGGCCTCCTTACCGTTGCTGTAGGCGTACGGAGACTCGGCAGCACCGTCCTGCAGGCTCTCCAGGATCTCGCCCTTGCCAACGTCGCTGTCGCCCACCAGCAGGAACTTGAGCAGGTAGTCGTAGCTCTTGACCGGGCTGCCCTGCGTCCCCATCCTCGCTCACGCGCGCGCAGGCCGCGCCCGCATGCCCACGGCGCCGGCCGCGGGAGCACGGCGGAGAGGAGGCCTCCGACCGACCTGCGGGAACGAAGCTCGGATGAGCGGGGGCCGGCGTGGCCCAGTCGGCGAGGGCCGGATGGCCCCGACTGTCGCTCGGACCGCCAGGGACGCAGAGCCCTGGCGCGCCCGCCGCCCGCACCTGTTCCGCCGCCTGACTCACCTCAGAGCTGCCGCCGCCCCGCCGCTTCCCGCACGGCGCCGCACAGCCCCACCGCCCCGCCTCGCCCCCAGCCCGCGCGCCACCATTGGCCACCCGCCGCCTGCTTACCCCGGCCCATTGGCCCACGCGCACGTCCTTCACGACAGCCTGCCTCCACCGTTTCCCACAATCGCAGGGAAGCCTCTGGTCGCCCCTCCCCATCGCCGTCCTATGCCACCTCCCCGCGATCACCATTGGTCGCCCACCTCCCCTTTCCTGAAATCATTGGTCTGTGTACACGTCCGTCAAGATCGCCCGCCCTCCCATCTTTCCCAACACACAGTTGCGAAGATTCTGACCGCCTCGCCTCTTGCCATCGCCATTGGCCGCTCGCCTCCCGCTTTCCCGGAACCACTGGTCCGTTTGCACGTCAGTCAGCACTACCACCGCTCCGCCCCTTTCGCAGAGCATCCCAGTCACCCGCAACCCCGCCCACTGCCCCCACCACACCGCGGCCTTCGCCCGCCCCTTCCCCGTCGCCATTGGCTACCGCTGCCAATTCTCCAAGAGACACTGGACCACAACACGTCGTTCACGGCCCCCCTAAGCCC